GGGAAGGGGAGGAAGGGAGGGAAGGGAGGGAGGGAAGGGGAAATTTTAGGGAATGGGTATATCGCGGTTTCATCCATCCATCCATCTCTCCACCCATCCGTTAAACACAACCCTGTTTTCTCCTTGCCGCATTGCATTGCATGTAATCCCCCCCTTCCCTCCCCCCCTTCCGCTACACACATGCACATACGTACAAACGTACACACGTACACGCACCCACCACTCTGTGCGGTTTGCTGGTGGCTGATGCAATCCGTGTGATCGATATGGAGCTGGTGTTGGACGCCAAGATGGTGCCCACGCGGGTCACCTGTTAGGCCACTTAGGCGGGTTGGGGTCGGAGGGATGTGAGCAGGTCTGGGTGTGATGTGTGGAACAGGGGGGGAAAGACGAACCACGTGAACGAGTGAAGGTGCTGCCAGGGCAAGCGTGTACCAGACGTAGAAGGGGATCATATCTTCACCCGTAGCAGCTACCTGGCGAAGCCCTGCCTTCCACGGTATTTCTCATCTAGTCACCCTAGTCAACTTCTCAGTGGATCGCTCTCAGGTTCCGCACCCACCACCGGCATCCAACGGAATCTGCCGGATGGATCAACGGCAGAGGTTCAACTCCATTCCTGGTCAGCTCGCAAGTCAACTCTACCCCAGGTCACCACCACCGTCTGTCGAATAGGGACACTATTTCCATCCATCATCGGAAGGATGTTCGACCCTGACAGGTCTCGATCCCGGAACCTCCCGGGGGCATCGGTGTGTGCGTTATCAGTAGTGCCTGAACTGATATGCGAAGTATGAAATGTATATGTACGTCCATCTGTCTGTCTGTCCATGTGTCTATCTGACTGTATTCGGTATGTCCGTGTGTGTGTGTGTGCTTTGTGAGAGCACGCAGCGAAACACGACATGAGTGACCAGAATCCGGACCACAACTCGCACGAGTCACGGCATGGCGGAGATGCCAGTCAGCTATCCGGCAACCCGAGGCTGGCTGGCGGTTGAA